GACTATGAAAACCCCATTTGCGAAATTTAATCATAAAATTGTTAAAACTATATAAGTTATCATCTGGACATCATCTGTATTCACTTAAACAGACAGACGTACAGACAAACATCCTCTGTGGATAATAATTCCTTCGATTCAGATAATTTGAGAAGTTTGTATTGTGGACTGTGGGAAGACTTGGAGCTGTGGGGTGGAGGAGAAGGGAGCAGGGAGGAAGGAGGAGGAGAGGGAGGGAGGGAGGAGAAGGAGTGGGGGAGGGAAGAGAGAGGGAGGGGGGAGGGAGGAGTAGGTCAGTGAGGGAGTTTGTCAATGTGGAGGATGAGTGGCGGAGACAGGTTGGGGGAGGAGGGACGGAGAGGGATAGAGGAGGAAAGAGGATGGGAAGGAGGAGAGATAATGGGAGAATTTCAGTGATGAATTGAGGGAGGGAGATAGAGAGAGAGAGAGAGAGAGAGAGAGAGAGAGAGAGAGAGAGAGAGAGAGAGAGAGAGAGAGAGAGAATACCTTTAAGTTCGATATCATTATTGTGTGTATTATTGTCATCATTACCACACCACCACACCACTACCACACCACCACACTACCACACCACCACACCACTACCACACCACTACCACACTACCACACCACTACCACACCCCCACCACACTACCACAATGTCATATAAGATTCAGAAGCCAAATTTAGATTCTTTCAATTTTATAAAGAGCTTCCAGTCCTCAGATCTCACAATATTGGCGAGCACTATATTTGGCGAGCTGTGTATTTGGCGAACCCTTTTTTGGCGAATACTATATTTGGCGAACACTATTTTTGTTAAGTCTCTTGAGGGGAAAGGTGTGAGTGAGAGGTGAGAGGGAGGGAGAGTGAGAGGTGAGAGAAAAGGTGAGAGCGGGGGCAGAGTGAGAGGTGAGAGAAAGGGTGGAAGGGAGAGGGAGGGAGAGTGAGAGGTGAGAGAAAGGGTGGAAGGGAGAGGGAGAGGTGAGAGAAAAGGTGAGAGGGCAGAGTGAGAGGTGAGAGAAAGGGTGGAAGGGAGAGGGAGGGAGAGTGAGAGGTGAGAGAAAAGGTGAGAGGGGGGCAGAGTGAGGGAGTGTGAGAGGTGAGAGTAAGAGAGAGAGAGACAGACAGACAGACAGACAGTGAGAGAGAGAGAGAGAGAGAGAGAGAGAGAGAGAGAGAGAGAGAGAGAGAGAGAGAGAGAGAGAGAGAGAGAGAGAGAGAGGTCTACTACAAGTTAATATAGGTAATATATAAGTCAGCTGACACTAAAACACACTTAAAGTTGATCTCTTACTCGTGTTCCTCCTTCCTTCCTTCCTTCCTTCCTTCCTTCCTTCCTTCCCTCCCTCCCTCACTCACTCCCTCCATCCCTCCTTTCCTTTTACGTTCCCTCCTTTTTTTCCTTTCCTCCCCCTCCTCTCCTTCACTCTTCTCCCCACCTCCCTCCTTCCTTACCTCCATCCTTCCTTTCCTCACTTCTTCATTCCTTTCCTGCATCACTCCTCTCTTTCCTTCCTTCCTTCCTTCCTTCCTTCCTCTCTACGCCTGCCCCCCACATTATTTATCAACCATTAAATAACCATAATATATCCTCATCATAAACTCATATACACAAGAAAAATAAACTACCTATATATACAATTTATATAGCATTTATATACCCAAGGCTCTAGTATATACATTATAGTGGTTCTGGGTGGAGGTGGTGGAGTGGATACAGTACTTCCCGTTTTTACTTGGGGTCGTTGGTTCGAGTCTTGGGTGCAATTCTGGGTTCGGTGTTATGTGAATGGGAACCTGACTTTGCAGTTAAGTGTTTGAGGGTTGTCTAGTGCAGTGCCGGTTGGGTTGTCTGTCTGTTTCGATATGAGAGAGAGGGAAAGTGAGAGACAGAGTGAGTGAAGAAGAGAGAGAGTGAGAGAGAGAGAGAGAGAAATACATACCTTCCAAATTCACATTATTATTATTATTATTTTTATTATTATTATTATTATTATTATTATTATTATTATTATTATTATTATTATTATTATCATTATTATTATTAACTTAAATTATCCAAATACGCCAAAATCGCGAATCTACTTAATTTCGCGAGTCACCAACTTCTCAACAGACAGTGCAGAAAATCCACCAATTAGAAAGCAAATACACTTGGAGCGTGAGCCAATCAGAACGTTGTTTGCTCTGCCGTCGAAACCCGGGCCTACTGTGTTGTGGTTTTGTGTATTCGTGTGTCTGTGCTTTTTGGTGTTTTATTTTTATTTTTATTCGTGTTTTTTAATCCGTGTTTTTTAGTTTTAATTCGTGACCTTTGAGAATCCATCTTTGTGTGGTAGCTTAAGTGAGTCAGTTAGATACGTTCTCACATCACCAGTTAGGAGGAAAATTGAACTTAGGAACCTTTGAGAATCCATCTTTGTGTGGTAGCTTAAGTGAGTCAGTTAGATACGTTCTCACATCACCAGTTAGGAGGAAAATTGAACTTAGGAACCTTGAGAATCCATCTCTGTGTGGTAGCTTAAGTGAGTCAGTTAGATACGTTTTCACATCACCAGTTAGGAGGAAAATTGAACTTAGGAACCTTTGAGAATCCATCTCTGTGTGGTAGCTTAAGTGAGTCAGTTAGATACGTTCTCACATCACCAGTTAGGAGGAAAATTGAACTTAGGAACCTTTGAGAATCCATCTCTGTGTGGTAGCTTAAGTGAGTCAGTTAGATACGTTTTCACATCACCAGTTAAGAGGAAAATTGAACTTAGGAACCTTTGAGAATCCATCTTTGTGTGGTAGCTTAAGTGAGTCAGTTAGATACGTTCTCACATCACCAGTTAGGAGGAAAATTGAACTTAGGAACCTTTGAGAATCCATCTCTGTGTGGTAGCTTAAGTGAGTCAGTTAGATACGTTCTCACATCACCAGTTAGGAGGAAAATTGAACTTAGGAACCTTTGAGAATCCATCATTGTGTGGTAGTTTAAGTGAGTCAGTTAGATACGTTCTCACATCACCAGTTAGGAGGAAAATTGAACTTAGGAACCTTTGAGAATCCATCTTTGTGTGGTATCTTAAGTGAGTGAGTTAGATACGTTCTCACATCACCAGTTAGGAGGAAAATTGAACTTAGGAACCTTTGAGAATCCATCTTGTGTGTGGTAGCTATGGGCTGCTAGGATATGTTCTCATCACCAGTTAGGAGGAAAATCAACTTAGGAACCTTTGAGAATCCATCTTTAGGTAGCTTGTTAGCTGTTAGATACGTTCTCACATCACCAGTTAGAGTGGAAAATTGAACTTAAGAACCTTGAGAATCCACTTTGTGTAGGTAGCTTAAGGGTCAGTTAGATACGTTCACATCACCAGTTAGGAGGAAAATTGAACTTAGGAACCCTTGAGAATCCATCTTTGTGAGGTAGCTTAGTTAGTCACAGATATGTCTCACATCACCAGTTAGGAGGAAAAATTGAACTTAGAACCTTTGGAGAATCCATTCTTGTGTGGTAGCTTATGGGTCAGTTAGATACGTTCTCACATCACCAGTTAGGAGGAAAACTTAACGTAGGAACCTTTGAGAATCCATCTTTGTATGGTAGCTTAAGTGAGTCAGTTAGATACGTTCTCACATCACCAGGTAAGATGAAAACTTAACGTAGGAACCTTTGAGAATCCATCTTTGTGTGGCAGCTTAAGTGAGTCATTTAGATACGTTCTCACATCACCAGTTAGGAGGAAAACTTAACGTAGGAACCTTTGAGAATCCATCTTTGTGTGGCAGCTCAAGTGAGTCAGTTAGATACGTTCTCACATCACCAGTTAGGATGAAAACTTAACGTAGGAACCTTTGAGAATCCATCTTTGTGTGGCAGCTTAAGTGAGTCATTTAGATACGTTCTCACATCACCAGTTAGGAGGAAAACTTAACGTAGGAACCTTTGAGAATCCATCTTTGTGTGGCAGCTTAAGTGAGTCAGTTAGATACGTTCTCACATCACCAGTTAGGAGGAAAATTGAACTTAGGAACCTTTGAGAATCCATCTTTGTGTGGTAGCTTAAGTGAGTCAGTTAGATACGTTCTCACATCACCAGTTAGGAGGAAAATTTAACTTAGGAACCTTTGAGAATCTTGGTCCATTTTGTTGAATAATTCAACTTTATTTCCGTAAAACCATTAGCTTAATCTCCCTTGTATTTACCCACTATTATTAAGAACGAACGTATATGACTTAATTAATTACTTTATTACTAGTGTATATTTACCTAATTAATCTTCACTTAAATATCGTAATTAAATCATATCTTTGGTGTAATTAATAAGATATAGTCAATCGGTATTTGCTTAATTAATCGCCCATAATAAAAAAAATATATATCCAATTAAACTTTTCCCGCCTTTTTTGTTTGTTTTGGTCAGATCAGCTGTTGATAATTGGCGCCATATTTACGCTCTTAACCAAACATGGCAACTTTTACCAATTATTTGTTTGTTTTTTGTTTTTGTAGTTTTGTGTCATAATTTGTCGTTTTTTTATAAGTTTGGGGGGATTATATTTCTCGTGTTATCTGTTGATCCTTTTTGGGAATGAACGAAGTGTTTGGTTCGCTTTAGAGGTGATTTTAGACCGTTTAGTATAAGGAAATGTGTTGGATGTGATTTTTATTTACTAATTGACAACTGTTTATAATTAGTAAAAATATTATTAGTGGTATTATTATGATTATTATTATTACCGGTATAACTACTATTATTATAATGAGTAGTAGTAGTAATAGTAAAGATATTGTCATTAAAAAATAGCACAATTTCATGGTAAAATGCGTTAATGCATCTTGCTACCACTTTTGAAAATTGTATAATGAAATTTAAAACTTTTTCATCAGTTTCGTATCGCGATAATGGTGTGACGTCATTGGAGGCATCAGCCCTGAACGCCAAATAATAACACTATTACTCATTTTATGCAACAGCAGCAATAAAATCGACAACCTCTCTCTTTGCAGATTTTACGTGCACTGAGCGTCACGGGGTAGAGTACCTACTGATGCAGATGACGTCACCCACAACACAGGTGCTGATTGGTGGAGTGGAACCCGGCCTGTGTCGAGTAGCCAGTCATCTTGCGAGGAAATACCACAAGCTATTCCTGCCCTGGTCATGCCTGGAGGTGAGCCATTCATTTATAAATATGGTAGTAGTAGTAGTAGTAGTAGTAGTAGTAGTAGTAGTAGTAGGAGTAGTAGTAGTGGTAGTCGTATTAGTAATTGATCTCACACACACACACACACACACCCACACCCATTCTCAACCCCATCCTCCTCCCCCCCACCCATCTTCCCTCTTTCCTTTCCACCCTCTCACCCATCCGCCCACACCCACCCACCCACTAACATCTCCTACCCACACAGATTCCCGCCCTGGAGCACAACGGCTCCCCGCCCATCCACGCCCACACCCAGGAGGAGGAAGAAGAAGAAGAGGAGAGGGAATCAGCCATGACCGTGGGCGTGCGTGACGAAGGTAGCCACGTTGCCATGGTTACGCCCACGGCCTTGAAGGTGGCGTGGGCGGCGCGGGCGGCCCTGACTCACCTGGGCTGGAGGCATGTCTGTATCATCACATTAGGTGAGTGTGTTGGGAGAGGAGAGGGGAGGAGGGAGGAGAGGGGAGAGGGAGGAGGAGGAGAGGTGAGGGGAGGAGGAGAGGGAGGGGAGGAGGAGGAAAAGGTGAGGGGGAGGGAGGAGGAGAGGTGAGAGGGAGGAGGGGAGGAGAGGTGAGGGGAGGAGGAGGAGAGGGGAGAGGGGAGGAGGGAGAGGTGAGAGGGGAGGAGGAGAAGAGGTGAGGGGAGGAGGAGGAGAGGGAGGGGAGGAGGAGGGAGAGGTGGGAGAGGGAGGAGGGGAGAGGTGGGAGGGGGAGGAGGAGGTGAGAGGGGAGGAGGGAGGAGAGGTGAGGGGGAGGAGGAGGAGAGGTGAGAGGAGGAGTAGGGAGGAGGGGAAGGAGGAGAAAGGTGGAGAGGGGAGGAGGGAGGGAGAGGGGAGGGGAGGAGGAGGGAGAGGGTGAGGGGGAGGAGGAGGAGGGGGAGGGGAGGGGAGGGAGGGGATGGGAGGAGGAGAGGAGAGGAGGAGAGAGGTGGAGAGGGAGGAGAGGGGGGAGAGGGAGAGGAGAGGTGGGAGATTAGAGGGGAGAGGTGAGGGGAGGAGAGGTGGAGAGGGAGGAAGTGAGGGGAGGGGAGGAGAGGTGAGAGGGAGGAGGAGAGGTGAGACGGAGGAGAGGTGAGAGGGAGGAGGAGAGGTGAGACGGAGGAGAGGTGAGAGGGAGGAGAGGTGAGAGGGAGGAGGAGAGGTGAGGGATTGGAGGAGGAATTGAGAGGGATGGGAGTAGGAGGAGAAGTGGGGAAAGGAAGGGACAATTGAGAAGGAGAAAGAGGGAAGGAGGAATGTAATAAAAGTGGGAGAGGAGGAGGGAGAAAAGAGTATCTTTTTATCTATCTCCTCTTCTCTCTCTCTGCAACAACGCTGAAAGAGAGAGAGAGTGAGAGAGAGAGAGGCAAGTCAATTAACGATAAAGAACGAAAGAAAAACGAGAGAGAGAGATATAAATAGAGATAGAGAGAGAGAGAGGGAGCGAGCGAAGATTAAACACCAATCACTCCCCGCTTAGCCTCCACGTCTCTTCTGATTGGTGGAGAGGGAAGAGGGGGGCGTGGCCAAGCTCACACACATACACACGCTGCTGGCTCTGTCAATATATGAGGTAGCGGTAATACACACACAAACACACACACACATACATGCATGCATACGTACACGGAAATACACAAATACGTATATGAAGGTAATACACATACACAGATACATACATACATGCATACATACACTGATACAGACATGCACAGGTCATACACACACACATACACACGACAGTATACATCATACACCAGGAACCTTCCATACAGAGATGTTTTAGGGACGCTTAATTTACATATTGACTCGGGTTTGGTTAGGTTAGGTTTGGTATGAGTCCGTGAAGAGAGGGATGAGTCCGTGAAGAGAGGGATGAGTCCGTGAAGAGAGGGATGAGTCCGTGAAGAGAGGGATGAGTCCGTGAAGAGAGGGATGAGTCCGTGAAGAGAGGGATGAGTCCGTGAAGAGAGGGATGAGTCCGTGAAGAGAGGGATGAGTCCGTGAAGAGAGGGATGAGTCCGTGAAGAGAGGGATGAGTCCGTGAAGAGAGGGATGAGTCCGTAAAGAGAGGGATGAGTCCGTGAAGAGAGGGATGAGTCCGTGAAGAGAGGGATGATAATGACTGACTTTTTGTGACCTCAGGAGTCGTTTATCTTTGACCTGGTGCCATAGATCACTGGCACCATGACCTTGACCTCGTTGACATAGTGCCACACAGGAGCAGTTAAGGTAATAGTGCCAAGTGGTGCCAGGTGGTGCCAAGTTGTCTCCAGGTGTTGATTATGGTACTAGTTTATTCAAGATGTCAGGTAAAGTTGGAAATTAGTTTAGGATGAGGCGAGCTGTTAAAAGACCTCATATTAATCCTCATCCTTACTCCCTTATAATTGCCTATTTAGTATTTAGGATTATCTCAGGGGGTTAAATCCTACTTGAGGTCATCCAGGATTATCTCAGGGGGTTAAATCCTACTTGAGGTCATCCAGGATTATCTCAGGGGGTTAAATTCTACTTGAGGTCATCCAGGATTATCTCAGGGGGTTAAATCCTACTTGAGGTCATCCAGGATTATCTCAGGGGGTTTAAATCCTACTTAAAAGCGTCCAGAGGGATTTAGGATTAACTCAAGAGGATCAAATCCTATTATCATCCTCCAGAGTGCCTTACACCCTCACTAACCTGTACTGTAAGGTGTCATGCCACTTGAGTAAGGTGTCATGCCACTTGAGGAAGGTATCATGCCAATCTGATAAGACTGTAAGGTGTCATGCCACTTGAGTAAGGTGTCATGCCACTTGAGTAAGGTGTCATGCCACTTGAGTAAGGTGTCATGCCACTTGAGGAAGGTATCATGCCAATCTGATAAGACTGTAAGGTGTCATGCCACTAGAGTAAGGTGTCATGCCACTCTGATAAGACTGTAAGGTGTCATGGCACTAGAGTAAGGTGTCATGCCACTGATAAGACTGTAAGGTGTCATGCCACTTAGGTAGGATTAAGTAAAGGAAATTAAACCCTAATTTAATGCGTTTTTTCCCAGCTGAGAAGAGATGCCCCGCCCCTTCCTCAAGAGTTACACCTAATTGGCTGTTGCAAATCTCTCCAATTTCGTCTTGAAGTAATGAAGTTTTTTCTAAATTAGTTTAACCCTAATCGCTGAAGTAATGATGTTTTTCTTCAGTTCATTCATAATTATCGTTGGAATGACCATTTATCACGAAAAAGATAGTTAGCTAAATTATATAAAGATAAATACATTAGCACATAGGAAGTTTATCAGAAATCTTTTATGTGAATTAACTGTTAAATTCGGGTAGCAGATTCACGCTTTCCGAGGATGCATTTAATATATACAGTACTTATTTTTACCCACAATAAGACGTACTAAGATAAATTACGTATCAGAAATATTATATTATGCAAGAACTACCATTTTAAAAGATCAGAATCACATGGAGATATTACACCACTACCACTACACCACACCACCACACTACCACACTACCACACCACCACACCACCACACTACACCACCACACTACCACACCACCACACTACCACACCACCACACTACCACACCACCACACATAACCTCGATGCACTGGTCTAGTCCTTCCTGGGTGCTTGATGCTAAGAGGGTCCGCCTTCACGAGTTGACTGAGAGAGAGAGAGAGAGAGAGAGAGAGATATCATCCAAAACATCCATCTATCCACTCACCCACCTAAACCCATTCACATCACCCAACACCCTCCTAACACCCACCTACACCCACCACACCCAACCCACACCCACTCACACCCTCCTAACACCTTCAACACACCCACACCCCAACACCCACCTACACCCACCTACACCCCCTAACACCCACTAACACCCACCACACCCACCCACACACCCACTTACACTCCACCTACACCCACTTACATCTACACTCCACACGTTCCAACACCCACCTACACCACTTACACCCACCTACACCCACCACACCCACTTACACCCACCTACACCCACGTACACCAGGCTGGGGACATGAAACACTTGCTCAACATTTAATTGTCTCTAATCTGTGAACCTGAAACTGGCCAGTTAATGGTCGCTCGTGAGATGACGTTGAGACGCTAATGGTGTTTAGAGGGTTAAGAGGGGTTGAAGTTAAGGGGTGTTATAGGGTTAAGGGGGTTTGTGTTATGTTGTTGTAATTTTGCTCTCCACCTTTAACTCCCTCACGATCGAGTGCTTGTTCACTGTCGCGAAAAAATAACAACAAAACAGAATCAGTAGAGAGTAATTTCCTGTCATTGATATACAGGGTGTGTCAGAAGCCTTGATCCATACTGTACAGGGTGCAGAAGTTTGATCCATACTGTGGGTGTGTCGAAGCCTTGATCCATACTGTAGGGTGTGTCAGAAGCCTTGATCCATACTGTACAGGGTGTGTCAGAAGCCTTGATCCATACTGCACAGGGTGGTCAGAAGCCCTGATCCATACTGTACAGGTGTGTCAGAAGCCTTGATCCATACTGTACAGGGTGTGTCAAGCTTGATCCATACTTACAGGGTGTGTGAAGCTGATCTACTGTACAGGGTGTGTCAGAAGCCTTGATCCATACTATACAGGGTGTGTCAGAAGCCTTGATCCATACTGTACAGGGTGTGTCAGAAGCCTTGATCCATACTGTACAGGGTGTGTCAGAAGCCTTGATCCATACTGTACAGGGTGTGCTTAAAGGCCTGATCATACTGTACAGGGTGTGTCAGAAGCCTTGATCCATATACAGGGTGTGTCAGCCTTGATCCATACTATACAGGGTGTGTCAAGTTGATCCATACTGTACAGGGTGTGTCAGAAGCCATCCATACTGTACAGGGTGGCCAGGCTTGCAGGGTGTCAGAAGCCTTTACTGAGGCGTCAGAAGCCTTGATCCATACTGTACAGGGTGTGTCAGAAGCCTTGATCCATACTATACAGGGTGTGTCAGAAGCCTTTGATCCATACTGTACAGGGTGTGTCAGAAGCCTTGATCATACTGTACAGGGTGTGTCAGCCTGTCCATACTATACAGGGTGTGTCAAGCCTTGATCATACTATACAGGGTGTGTCAGAAGCTTGATCCATACTGTACAGGGTGTGTCAGAAGCCTTGATCCATACTATACAGGGTGTGTCAGAAGCCTTGATCCATACTGTACAGGGTGTGTCAGAAGCCTTGATCCATACTGTACAGGGTGTGTGTTGAAGCCTTGATCACTGAACGGGGTGTTAGAAGCCTTGATCCATTGTTGTGTGTTGTTACTGTACAGGGTGTGTCAGAAGCCTTGATTCCATACTTGTACAGGGTGTGTCAGGAACTGTGATCCATACTACAGGGGTGTGTCAGAAGCCTTGATCCATACTGTACAGGGTGTGTCAAATGTTTGTGGGGTTGAAGCCTTGTCCATACCGCAGGGTGTGTCAAGCCTTGATCCATACTGTACAGGGTGTGTCAGAAGCCTTGATCCATACTGGGTGTGTGCTTGATCCATACCGTACAGGGTGTGTGGAAGTCTTGATATACTTACAGGGTGTGTCAGAAGCCTTGATCCATACTGTACAGGGTGTGTCAGAAGCCTTGATCCATACTGTACAGGGTGTGTCATGGTAAGGATTGGTATTCACCACACACACACTCTCTCTCTCTCTCTCTCTCTCTCTCTCTCTCTCTCTCTCTCTCTCTCTCTCTCTCTCTCTCTCTCTCTCTTCTCTCTCTCTCTCTCTCTCTCTCTCTCTTCTCTTCTCTCTCTCTCTCTCTCTCCATAGTACAGTCAGGGTTTGCTACTTTGGGGCTGGATTAAAGGTGAGATGACAGGAACCTTGCCGTGCCGCCCTCCACCCTGCCACCCTGTCTTGAACCCTGCTGCCCTCCACCCTGTCTTAACTGCGCCTCCCACCCTGTCAACCACCCTGCCGCCCTGCCAATGCTGCTGCCTTTCCACCTTGTCATCCTTCTGACCTTGCAATCTTGCCTAAATAAATGGGTTAGGTCAGGTCAGGTCAGACGGGGATGAGTTAGGTTAAGTTAGGTCAGGATTAGTCAGATGAGGATGGGTTAGGTTAAATTGGGTTAGATTAGGTTAAATTGGGTTAGATTATGTTGAATTAGGGTAAGTTAAGTTAGGTTAAATCAAATGAGGATGGGTTAGATTAGGTTAGATGGAGTAAAATTGACTCATATTTGGGCAGTTCGCGGTATTTTATCAACACTGGCCATAATACGTGTAAAAAAAATTATCGTACACATCCAACCAACCAGCACACACCGTCGGCCAGTGGTCAAGTTATCGTTTTGTTTACTTCCGTGTACAGTCATAAGGGTGTGTTAACCTTCCGTGTACAGTCATAAGGGTGTGTTAACCTTCCGTGTACAGTCATAAGGGTTGTGTTAACCTTCCGTGTACAGTCATAAGGGTGTGTTAACCTTCCGTGTACAGTCATAAGGGTGTGTTAACCTTCCGTGTACAGTCATAAGGGGGTGTTTACCTTCCGTGTACAGTCATAAGGGTGTGTTTACCTTCCGTGTACAGTCATAAGGGTGTGTTAACCTTCCGTGTACAGTCATAAGGGTGTGTTAACCTTCCGTGTACAGTCATAAGGGTGTGTTTACGGGGAGTCTGACCCGAACTTTCGCCTTAGATCATTAGTTGGGGTAATTACAGTGCCATTGATGTGGTTTAACTTTGGTAGATTGGGGAGTATAATGTGTGTGTGTGTGTGTGTGTGTGTGTGTGTACCGGTATGTATGTATGTGTGTATGTTAGGAGGAAAATTTAACTTAGGAACCTTTGAGAATCTATCTTAGTGTCGTAGGATTTTTTTCCCTAAAGAATATGAAGATTTTCTGCATAATTCATCAGTGCTGTAATTTGACGGTAGTGTGAGCAAGAGACATGTAGGGGGGGGGTAGGGGAGTGAAAGTTGGATGGAAGGGAGGGGAAGGAGAGAGGGGAGGGGTAAGGAAGAGGAAGAGAATGGGGAAGGCAAGAAGGAGGAGGAGGAGAAGAGAAGAGGAAGAAGGAGAGAAAAAAACTGAGTATTTATCTTTCACCAATGTACACAAGTTACCAGGTATAAACAAACCAATCCAGTGGTAAAAAAAGATTGTATTCCTTTATAAACATTACATAACCAATCTTTTTCACCTGTGCACAAAACCAATCATTTCCACCTGTGTATAAAAAAAACAATCAGCCAAAGTGAACTAGAATCTTAGGGTAAAATATTTTCCTAAGTCTCCCCCTAAAGAAAACGAGAAGAGAGGAAAGAAAATGGAGTGGGGGGACTTTACTAAATACAATTCTATGGTATATTTCTTTAATCTATGATACTATAACAAACTACTCATTTTCTGATGGGCTACCTGCCTTTACAGTTGAGGAAATGAAGGTTGTTGAGTACAGTGCCTGGGGGAAATTAATAAATACAGGCATGAGGAAACACTTTGGGGTAGTGGGCTGTGGTATCCACCCCTCAGAGGGAGTGTTGGAGGGAGAAGAGAGTAGAGAGAGAGAGAGAGAGGCTGGAGGAGGGGGAGAGGATGGAGAGATGAAGGAGAGAGGAAGAAGAAGAGAGGGAGTGAAATATAAAGAAGGAGAAAAGAGAAGAGAGAGAGAGAGAGAGAGAGAGAGAGAGAGAGAGGTGAAAGACTCAAGACAAATTTATTCAGATTATGCGAGGGAGGGAAGGAGCGAGGGAGGGAAGGAGTTGAGGGGGGGGGAAGGAAGGAGGAGGGGAAGGAAACAGGGAGGGAAGGTACAAAGAGAGAGGAATAGGGAGAAAGAAAGGAGAGAGAGAAGAAGAGGTGTAGAGGAGAGGGGAGGGAGGAGGAGGGACAAAGGAAGGAGGGAGAATGAGGAGGAGGAAGGGAAGAAGGAGAACGGGGAATGATAAAGCGAAGGAGAGAGAGAGAGTGTACACAACTGATAGATACATCCAGTAGAGAGAGGGGTGAGAGAGAGAGAGAGAGAGAGAAAGTATACGATGACACACAGAGCGTAAATTGAAAAACACAGATATATATATAGAGAAGCAGCATCTCTTCTTTTTTTCTCTCTCACTTCCCTCTCACCCCCCTCACCTCCCACTCCATCCATCCAAGCTCCACTACCCATTACACCTCTATCAACCCCTCTCCACTGTACCTCCCCAATCCATCTCCACTACTCATTACACTCTATCAACCCTCTCCATCACCTCCCTACCCTCTCACCCCATCTAACCCCCCCTCTCACCCTCCCTCTCACCCTCCCTCTCCCTCCCTCTCACCCTGGACTCTCCCTTCCTCCTGCAGCAAGCAATTAAGCGACTAAAGGTGGTATACCCTTGCTGGGAGTCATGCAAGATCCTCAAACAGAAAACCAAGTCAGGATTTAGGTCAGACTCGTGTGTTTTTGTCTGATGGCTTCGTTAACTTCCTTCGCTGTTTTATATGTTTTTATTTGTTTATTTTTGTGTCCACTATGCTCTAGACGTGTCCACTATGCCCTACAGGTGTCCACTATGCCCTACAGGTGTCCACTATGCCCTACACGTGTCCACTATGCTCTATACGTGTCCACTATGCTCTATACGTGTCCACTATGCCCTACACGTGTCCACTATGCCCTACACGTGTCCACTATGCCATACACGTGTCCATTATACCATACACGTGTCCACTATGCCCTACACGTGTCCACTATGCTCTATACGTGTCCACTATGCTCTATACGTGTCCACTATGCCCTACACGTGTCCACTATGCCATACACGTGTCCATTATACCATACACGTGTCCACTATGCCCTAAACTATGTCCTAAGTATATCCAGTATGTCCTAACCATGTCCATTTCTCTCCCAGACTCGAGATATTGGAGGGGACTGGCTCACACAGTCGATGTTGAACTGAGATCACTACATCACCAAGTACCTACATTAGCTGTACTGCCTACTGCCCCTTCCTTACATAACATCACCAAGCTCTTCAACATCCGGGCCACCAAGCTGATTAAGGGTGAGTGGGGGGAGAGGGTAGGTGGAGTGGGAGGCAGATAAAGAGAGAGTGAGTGAAGTTGTGAGAGAGAAACACACAAACAGAAAGAGCGAGTGAGATTGAGAGAGAGAGAGACATACAGAGAAAGAGAAAAATGGAGAACTAGTGAGAGAAAGAAAGAAAGAATTAAAGAAAGAGTTAACGAAAAGGAAAGAGAGAGAGAGAGAGAAAGACACACAGAAAGAGAAAAACGGAGAACTAGTGAGAGAAAGAAAGAAAGAGTTAAAGAAAAGGAAAGAGAGAGCCGCTGCCATCACCAATAACGTCTTCATCTCACCACAATATAAAACACACAACACAATGAAAGGTTAAAGGGAGGTGGAGGACCTGAATATAATGCAGAGGTCTGATGGGGCCCTGATTTATTAATAGGTCTGATTTATTAATGGGGTCTGGTGTGGCCTGATTTATTAATGGGGTCTGATGGGGCCTGATTTATTAATGGGGTCTGATGTGGCCTGATTTATTAATGGGGTCTGATGGGGCCTGATTTATTAATATGGTCTGATTTAGTAATGGGGTCTGATTAATGGGGCCTGATTCATAATGGGGTCTAGTTTATTATTTTAGTCTAATTAATGGGGCCAGATTTATTAAGTGACACAATAACTCCAAAGACCCATAACTCGGTACAATAATAACTTAAAGCCCTGATTATTGAACCTAACCTAACCTAACCCACCCCAAAGTTTAATGACCCATAACTTAGTACTTGATTAACTTAAACTCCTGGTTATTGAACTTGCTTGAGGTCTTATAGCGACAAATCAACACAATCAAGTTTGCTTAAAATTCATTGTTTATTGATCAAGTTATCGCGAGGACAAGTGACAGGCAGACATATAGACGCACGACTCTGGACTTAAAACAAAATCCTCAATATAAAGTCTCTCTCTCTCTCTCTCTCTCTCTCTCTCTCTCTCTCTCTCTCTCTCTCTCTCTCCTCTCTCCTCTCTCTCTCTCTCTCTCTCTCTCTCTCTCTCTCTCTCTCTCCTCTCTCTCTCTCAGGACAGTCTTGGGACAATAGTGAGCCACTGAAGGACTCGTGGCTTATCGTCAGTCTCCGTGTCTGGGGAGCAAATTCATCTCTCATATCACAGTAATCTTAAAGCCCCCCACAGGTAAGCCCCCACCCCTCATTCCCCCCACAGGTAAGGCCCCACAACCCCCCCATTCCCCACAGAGTGGGCCCACCCCATCCCCCTGAGTAGGCCCCACCCCCCCCATCCCCCACACAGGTAAGGCCCCCACACCCACCCATCCCCCACAAGGTAAGCCCCACCCCCATCCCCCCACACACCCCCTGAGGTCAGCCCATACCACACACAACTCATAAAGAATAGATGGAAAGGCTGGATAAAGACGGGAATAAGTGAAATGTGGATAAATGGGAAGGAGAGAAATGTGGATGCAGAAGAGAAGAAAGGAAGCGTGGATAAAAATGTGAAGGGGGGGATAGTGAAGATGTGACGAACTGTAAGAATAAAGATGGCAAGAGAAGACGTTTATGATGATGGGGGATAGAGGAAAATGTGGATAAAGATGGAAATAAGAGACACGTGGATAAAGTCAGAGAAAGAAAAATAGAGTTAAAGAGAGTAAGAAAGATGTAAAGGGGAATTGATAAAAGACAGGATGAAGGAAAATCGATAAGGAGGCGAAGGTCAGGGTGATAAAGTGGGAAGGAATCCTGATGAAAATGGTGAGAGGAAAAGACGTCAAAAATGTTAAGTAAGGGAGAGAAATGGAAGGGGAAGAGACGATATGAAAGATGGAAATGGGATAAAGGTGATGAAACAAGGAGTGAGGAAGAGAGAGAGAGAGAGGCAGGGAGAGTAAAAAGAGAGAGAGGCAAGGAGAATAAGGGTAGAGAGAGGTGGAGAGAGTATGGAGAAAGAGGTAGGGAGCATAAAGGGAGAAAAAGACAGGGGGAGGAAGGAGAGGCAGGGAGAGTAAAGGGGAGAGAGATTAAGGAGAGGGAGGCAAGGAGTCTATGGAGAGAGAGAGGGACAGGGAGAGAGAGAGTAAGGAAAGAGGGAAAGACAGACAGACAGTAAGGAAAGACAGACAGACAGACAGAGTAAGAGAGAGAGAGAGTAAGGCGAGAGAGAGTAAGGAAAGACAGACAGACAGACAGACAGAAAGACAGACAGTAAGGAAAGAGAGACAGACAGACAGATAGTAAGGAAAGAGAGAGAGTAAGGAAAGACAGACAGATAGTAAGGAAAGAGAGACAGACAGACAGACAGAAAAGACAGATAGTAAGGAAAGAGAGACAGACAGACAGAGTAAGAGAGAGAGCGAGAGTAAGCGGTTTATCTCTGTCATCAAGTGAGACACAAAGTTTCCCCTAACGACTCGCTGGTGGATCATCTAAGTCTCCCCTGGGCCGTCGCATTACCCCCGTTTTCTGTTCACCTCCTGACTGTGCAACCTGGATATATAGCATCCCTTATCTCACATTAAAAGAGACATATCTCCTTTTACACTATCTCTTTCCCTATTCAAACCATCCCATGAGACAGAGAGAGATAGCAAAGAGATAAAAACATAATTACTTAGAGATTTTAAAAGTGATTGGAATAAATAGCAATGAAAATAAGATTTGTTTTTCCAACCCTGACGAAAATATTTGGGATAAAAGAAATTTCCGGGAGTGAACAATGTTATCGGGTAATAGACGTCAGCTCAGCGCCCCCTTCTGGCACCTGATTGAACTAATAATGATGAAATGGAAGGATAGTCGTCGATCTATCCATCCGCTCCGCCATCCTCGTCTCTGCTGCTTCATACACGTGTCTTTGTAGGGGTCAGAGAGGTTTGGGTCCTTCATGTTCTTAGTCTGTCTGTCTGTCTGTCTGTCTGTCTGTCTGTCTGTCTGTCTGTCTGTCTGTCTGTCTCTTTTATATTATGGATTTTCTCTTTAATTATAGTCTCTCTCTCTCTCTCTCTCTCTCTCTCTCTCTCTCTCTCTCTCTCTCTCTATGGTCGTAAGTTAATTGATATAGCTTCTCCTTCCCCAGGGTACTTGATGACTGTGTGTGTGTGTGTGTGTGTGTGTGTGTGTGTGTGTGTGTGTGTGTGTGTTTACCTGTGGTTCCTGTTACTGCCCATCCCTATTTCCAGCCTGGTTACTTCCCATCCTATTACAGACTTACCCTATTACTAATCCACCCCTATTTAAGCGTCCCAATATCCGGGTAAATAGGCAGTGAATCAGAAGGTCTGAATACTGGCAGTGTTAGGCAACCAAATTGGAGAAATGTTGGGTGGGAGCAAGTCTCTCTCTCTCTCTCTCTCTCTCTCTCTCTCTCTCTCTCTCTCTCTCTCTCTCTCTCCTTCCTTTCCTCCCTACCTCCCTCCTTCCCCCCTGCTCTCCCTTTTCCTTCCCTCCCTCATATTCTCATACTATCTTCCTGCTCCTTCCCTCCCTCCCTCCCTTCCCTCCCTTCCTCCCTACCCCCTCCCTCCCCTCCCTCCCTCCCTCCCTTCCTTCCCTCCTTCCCTCCTCCCTCCATCCACCTCCCTCCCTCCCTTCCTAAACTTAAGGAATTACTAGCCTATATTCTCTCCCCCCAAATGACCTCAGTACTGTGTGTGTGTGTGTGTGTGTGTGTGTGTGTGTGTGTGTGTGTGTGTGTGTGTGTGTGTGTGTGTGTGCTTGCACTTATTTAGTGCCACCAACTAATATCACAGAACGGAATATTAAGGCCAAACAACACAATATTAAGGCCAAACAACACTATATTAAGGCCAAACAACACAATATTAAGGCCAAACAACACAATATTAAGGCCAAACAACACTATATTAAGGCCAAACAACACAATATTAAGGCCAAACAACACAATATTAAGGCCAAACAACACAATATTAAGGCCAAACAACACAATATTAAGGCCAAACAACACTATATTAAGGCCAAACAACACTATATTAAGGCCAAACAACACTATATTAAGGCCACCTAAAACAATTCGTCAAGGCAAGGAAGAGAAAATCATTTGGGCGGGAAAAAGTGACACGAGTTTCTGATCTTGGAAGAAATTTATTGGATTCAAATTAACTTGGCTGACGTTTCTCATCTATCTCTTGCCCTGGTCTCTCTCTATCTCTCTCTCCCTCTATCTGTCTATCTCTCTATCTCTCTATCTATCTCTCTCTCTCTCTCTCTCTCTCTCTCCACCACCCATCCTAGAGAGAAATAGTGGATCGATGCGCTTTTGTTTCCCCTGGTTTAGGATTGGATTACTTTCAGGGGGTTTGTTGTAAAGGATCCCAGACCCCCCCCCCCCTCCTCGATTCTCTTTTCTTTGAAGGTGTCGGTGTCGCTTGTTTGTTTAGGTTCAGGCGTTTATATTTTTTATTATAAGGAGATAAAGTTGAAAGAGATAGTGTTTGGGTCTGGCGTTTATATTTCCATTATAAGATGTTTGGGTCTGGCATCTATAGTTTTGTTTTAAAGGCCTCCTGATCCTCTTTACTGCCGTCCCTCGTTTGGGTTCTGGTGTTTATAGTTCCATTAAGAAAGTTTATGGTAAGTGACATTTTTTTGGGGTCTGGCATTTATAGTTTTGTTATACGAGAGATGTTTTACTGAAGGTTATATGTGAATCTACTTTTGTTTGGTGTTTTTATGTTATGTTATGGAAATGCTTTTGTTTTTAATTTTTGTTTTTTTGTTTTTGTTTTTCTCGTGGAAATAATTTTGTTTTTGTTTTCGTGTTGTGGAAATGTTTTTGTTTTTTGTTGTCGTGGAATTAATTTGTTATTGTTTTTGTTGTTTTATTACATTATTGAGTTTGTTATTCAAATAGTTCTTTTTATTTATTCTTGTTTTGACTTTCAGTTTATATTTATTTGATTATTTTTACCTCTATCCTTTTATCATCTCTGTCTCTTTCCATCTCTCCAACACTCCTCCATCTCTCCAACACTCCTCCATCTCTCCAACACCATCCTCCACCACCAACTTCTCGTGGGAGTAGTTGAAGACTTCACCACCAGGGCTATAATGTGTCATTGTGTGGCTCAGTTGCCAGTTAGGCGTTACATCCCTCATAATACAAGAGCTCTCAGAGTTTCCCGTCTTGGTAAGTCGTCGAATTGTCAAGGTGTTGGGAGTTTCATTGATGCGTTTCTCGTTTGAGTTTAATTTCTGGTTTGTTTTGTAAGTTTTAGGTTTATTTCCGGGTTGTGTTATGTTTTAGGTTTTTGTTTCCGGTTTGTTTTATGAGTTTCGGTTTATTAATGGTTTGTTTTGTAAGTTTTAGGTTTATTTCCGGGTTGTGTTATGTTTTAGGTTTATTTCCTAGTTGTTTTATGCTTTAGGTTTATTTTTGGTTTGTTTTATGCTTCAAATACGGAAGTTTTCTTGTTTAATTATTGATATATACTGTGTTTATATAAAAAACCTTTTAGGAACAATGGAGAATAGATATTGTGTGTGTGTGTGTGTGTGTGTGTGTGTGTGTGTGTGTGTGTCCATATTTAACATATACTGCAACTCAGTAATTAATACATCTCTCTCTCTCTCTCTCTCTCTCTCTCTCTCTCTCTCTCTCTCTCCCTCACACAGCCTACCTCCTCGTCCTGCCATCATCATCACCAGTCCTGGGTCGGGTCCTACAGGAAGCAGAAGTCGAGGGCGTCACCAGACACTCCACCTTCTTCATCCTCGACCCTCTCTACGCCCCTGTCCCAGCCTTCACGCCCACACACGCCCACGATCACAAGACCCCACGCGCCCACCAAGCCGCCCAGCAACCCCTTCACGCCCACGATGGTCAAGATAAAAAGAGATTTAAAGGACTGAAACAACTGAGTGATCTGTCAACGGAGGCGGCCCGGGCTGTGATGGTTCTGGCCGCCGCCACTAGAGGGCCACCCAATATGGCGGCCAAAGGAGGTGTAGAAACCAACACTGACAAGAACACACCGACAGACACACACACGAACGCCTCACCTGGCCATAAAACAGGCGGAGGAGGAGGAGGAGGAGAACACAAGAATAAACGAAGAGATAGAGAGAGAGAAGGACAGAGAACTGAAGCAGAAGGGAGAAGAAGAGTCGTATTACCTCCGGCAATAACAGCGCTTCCACTTAACCAATCAGTGGCCTCAGAGGTGAGTAATTATCGTACACCTCACAGTCTTCAGTCGTTGCACCAGCCAATCAGCATCCTCAAAGGTAAATGATTATCATACATCTACCTGAGATGCAGCAACATCCAATCAACTGCTTCTAAGGTAAGTTATTATTGTACATCATACATCTTAGAGAAATTACCTCAACCAATCACAAACCTCAGAAATAATTGATTATCCTACACCTGGCAACCACGAGATGATGCACCAGCCAATCACTGACCTTAGAAATTACGTAACAAACTCCCTCCTGGCAACCATCACTGCCGTAACTAACCAATGAAAAGCCTCAAAAGTTCATAAATACTGTATCATACCTCGGCACCTAATTGGTAAGTAGTCAACCCACACACACACACACACCCCACCCACACACACACACACACACACACACACACACACACACACACACACACACACACACACACACACACACACACACACACACACACACACACACACACACACACACACACACACACACACACACACACACACACACACACATGTTCAGTGGGTGACATTATCTATTTTTCTAAGGAGGAGGGAGGGTGAGGTGAGAGAGAGGTAGGTAGGGAGGGAGGTAAAGGCATTTGCCAAAGTTTCTGTGATTCATTAGGGAGGGAGGAGAGTGTGAGATAGAGAGAGAGGAAGGAGAGGGAGCAATAGAGGGATGAGATAGAGAGAAAGGAGAGAGAGAGAGATTCAGGTCTTAACAAATTAAAAAAGGAAAAAAATGGAAATTTCATAAGGAATAATGTTAGACGCTGTGTGGGGGGGAGGGAGGGAGGAGGAGGGTGGGGAGAGAAGAGAGAGAGAGAGGGAGGAGAGAGAGACATAATTGGATAAATAAAGAGAGAGACTGATATACCTCTGAATAACACACACACACACACACACACACACACACACACACACACACACACACACACACACACACACACACACACACACACACACACACACACACACACACACACACACACACACACACACACACACACACACACACACACACACACACACACACACACACACACACACACACATACACACACACACACACACATATATCAAAGGTTTCCACAGTTCAACCTATTCAGTCACTGGAAATGAGGATGTAATAATGGTGAAAATTAGAACAGTGTGGACGTGACCAGGGAGAGGAGGTAGGGAGGAGACTGAGGGAGAATAAGGAGAGGAGAGAAAAGGGACAGGAGGAGGAGGAGGTAGAGAAGGAAGAGGAGAAAGGAGGGAGGGAGAAGGAGAGAGGAGAAACACCTACAAACAATACAGTGTTACCAATTCAAGAGTAGGGTTGTTGGGTCGTGTTGCTTTACCTTTGCTATGATACAATTGGCAACACTGTCATCATATGTAAATACTGTACATATAACCACACACACACACACACACACACACACACACACACACACACACACACACACACACACACACACACACACACACACACACACACACACACACACACAGCACACACACACACACACACACACACACAGACACACACACACACACACACACACACACACACACACACACACACACACACACACACACACACACAAAGGGACCACAATTATTACGTGACACACTAAAGGTTTCAATTGATTGCTTTCCTCCCTTATTAAAGCCACGAGGGAGGGACAGGTGAGAGAGAGAGAGAGAGTGAGAGAGAGAGAGAGAGAGAGAGAGGGAAGGATGTGTTGTGTAGTGAGTAGTGTGGTTATTATCTCTCTCTCTCTCTCTCTCTCTCTCTCTCTCTCCTCTCTCTCTCTCTCCTCTCTCTCTCTCTCTCTCTCAATGTTAACCATCACCTCAAAATGTCAACTCATGTCAGCTTTCACCTCAACTCATGTCAACTTTCAACCCTCAAATAAAGAATTCGCTCAGCCCTTCCCCGCCCACTCGTCCATAAACATGAATCGGGGAACAGGACAAAATCGGCTCTAAAATCTGGCGGAAAAATCCATCACGTTTCCAACTCAGATTTTTTGGGGAGAGGTTGAGGTTTGTTTGGTGTGTTTGGAGACCGATTTTTGTAGTTGAAATCTGTTAGGGAGGATTTTAGTGGTTGGGATATGA